GTGGAGCTGGAGCGGATGCCAATGACAATTCAGATGACGCCTTGAGCACGAGCCCAATCAGCAGAACATATGAAGATGGTGTTCTTATTTGTGCGTTTGTCGGTGCAATTTACATTTGCACATGGATTTGCAGAGCTGTACAATTCATTTTCTTGCGATTGCGTGGTTTTACCATTGCAGCCAGTGCAGACGTTGTTGAAAGTGCAGAGAGAAAGAAGCATGATGAAGGTAAGCCTGAGGTGCGTGAAAAGAAGGCCAAGCAGGACACAGTTGACGCTTCGGTCAACACCAATGACACTTCGGAGATGCGCTGGAGAGAAGCAGCATCGTCAAGTTCGGAATTGCCTGCTCGGCGAGAGATTCCGGATCCGCCAATTTCGGTTGCACCTCGGGTGACAAGCAGGAGAACCTCGATGAGGGAGGAAACGGTCACTCTGACCATCAGTGGAAGATGCTATCACAGAAGCTCGTGCAAGTGGCTGGAACATAGCACAGATTTGCGTCAGTGTGGCATTTCGTATGCTATCCAGCATGGATTGAAGCGATGTAGCACTTGCTATGGTGGAAATCTGTGATTCGGAGATGTGGAGATTTCAGCAGATGAGATTTCATAATGACGCATTTTGCGTTTGCACGTGATCTTGATGATCACCCGACATGTGTATCATGAGCGTGAGTGCCATCAGTGCATTCGACTCGTGGACATTCTTGTGTCAAACAAGACTGGCAAAAAGTAGCCCCCATGAACACGTTGTGCACTGATTGCATTTTGTTCCGCGTGAATCGTTGGACATGACTGTTGTACAGTTGAGCTTGGACATGTTTCACATGTACCGTGGATTCATGCAGGCGTCTTTGCATCAGGAAAAGTTAGCACTGTCCATGCGCGTTTATGGCCATCTTTCCTGTCAGCATTAGACGCCAAAGCCGTGCTCAAATCAGCAGTGCATGGCATTTTTATGCCGCTAGGCTCTAAAGTTCTAGAGTTCCAAGGGGCATGCATTCGCACGCCAGCCGACCTGCCTCGCGTTGTGCCTAGCCACAAGTCCGCTTGGGTGCGCATAGCGGACGCCTCCGCAGAGCACACTCGCCTGTCCAAGATGAGCAAACACAGCGTAGAATGGCTGCTGCAATGCTTCCATCTCGACCTCGCATGCCCGCTGAGAAGCAAACCAATGCTGGCTTGCAAAGCCGCCGCGGATGCATGCGCCGAGGGCAGTATAGTAGGCGTAGGAGGTTGGTTCATCTCCCGCAACTCCGTTGCGTGGTTCGCAGAGACATGGCAATTCCAAGAAGTCCAGGAACAATGGCCATGCCTGACCAAAGAAGCCCAGCGTTACATCGCATGCTTCGAAACCTTGGCCCAACTAGCACTCGTGCGGATCGCGTGGTCCTGCGAGGGACAAGGCGTGCGTGGCATTTGCATGCCCACAGGAACAGATAACACAGCTTCCGAAGCCGGTGTTAATAAGCTGTTCACCACTTCTTGGCCCTTGCAAGTCTTTGTGCAACTTGTTGCTGCCTGGGCCCATAAGCGCAAATGGTCCGTGATCGCGTCACACATCCCAGGGGAGCACAACATCTGGGCAGACCAGCTGAGCAGAGGTAATACCTCCGCTTTCCAGGCTCGACCAGAAGCCAGAGTGCGCTTCAGGCCGCATGATTTCTGGCCTCACGCATCAGCTCTCACACTTCACCCTGCGGACGCACCGTGGAGACCCGAGCACGTGGCTGCTGCGCAAACGCACTAAAGAGGGGGTAAGGTGATTTGACCGTTTGCTTAGAACTCTAAAGTGGGGGTATTCCGACAGGCTCCGCATGAGATGCAGGAAAATGGAGTGGACGCGCATCGTCGCTCCACCTGCATCTCTGAGCCTGCACTTCTAAGCAACGCTCAAGTAAAAAAAAGCGCGTATCGAGTTTGCTCCGGTCGGTTGCTTTTTTCCCTGCATGTCCCTTTAGGCTTGAAGCAGTGACCAAGATTCTAACGCTAGGGGTTTGTCTTTCCCCCTGTATGCGGTCACCCGTGATAGCACATTAGTTCAGAGATAAAGAATGAAAAATTGAGATGCTCAATTTTTCAGGCCAAAAATTTTCCTTGAGCATTCCCTTTTGCAATTGCAAACATGTGTTGCCTTGAGACTTGCCTTTGTCTGGATCGTGTTGACAATCCTCAGATGATGCAGCATGGGCTGAGGTGGGAGGGTTGTCCCCATCTTTTGGAGTTGGCGCCTTGTGCCATGGGCTTGTGCCTTTCACGAGCAGCGGTTCAGCGACGTATTGTGCAGCGTTGGGCGCGTTTTCTTCGCCTTTTTCGCCGGATACGTTTCCGTCAACGCCTTTTTCAGCATCTGGGTGTGCAATTACAGTTGTTGCAAACACCTTTGCTGAGGAGGCTGTCTCGGTTTTACACGCTGGACCGTTAGATTGTGTTTCGGGTAAAGGGGGGTTTTATGCCCTGGAGGAAAAGGACGACAAGGGTCATAGATCCTCCTGTCGACATGGAAGATGGAGATTTTGCAGAATCTTCACATGGTGCTTCCTCAGGACCCGATATGCATGGCCATGGGATTTTACATCAGTTCAGGTCGGGTCGCTCAGATGATGGTGACCCTGAGCTCATGGAGGCTTTTCCTGAAGAAGGGCGTCAACATATTGACTCTGCAAAAAAAAAGGTAATTCCGATGAGGAACTGCTTTCACAAGACCATGTTCAAGAAGAGGGTTCTGACACAAGGACTCCTTGGAGTGTAATCGGGGAATCTGTCAATGAGCCTCGAGGCGTTGCTGCTTTGTCAAGCTTCGACAACAAGGTTTTGTTCCAGAACGCTGTGATTGACAATGTAAGGACTTGCAATATTTCATTGCCTTGGGAGACGGGAGTGTTTGCGCAGATCTTTGATGAAAGTGATGCAGACCTGGTTCCAAGGATGCATGCAGTTTCCTTCCCTTTAGACGTGGCGTCTGTTGCCGAAGCATCTCAGCATGCAGATGGAGCTAAACAAACCTTTTCAGCAACGCCAGGCAAGCCGATTTTTGCAAAGGCTTTCAGCTGCCTGAGTGACACGTCGTTCGTGGAGGAGCGTTCACAACTATTTTCTGTGGGTGTCAGGAAGTGGTGGGTCATTATTGGCCGCAGCATGGACGCTTGTCAGACGGGACGTATCATCAGAGACTGCGGAGAAGGCACAGACATGGAGTCGTATGCATTGGAAACAATTGGCGCAATCATGGGTACAAGATCGCCTTACACTGTGGTCAAACGTGCTAATTCTATTTTGGCTTTCATCAGGTGGGGGGATGCGCAGCTTGGTATCAGTGAACCCAATATTTGGAAATACATTCAATGGTTGAGGACATCTGACTCAGGGCCTACATCCGCTGCAAGCTTTGTGTCAGCTTTGAGATTTGCTCATTTCATCCTTGGGTTTGCAGATTCAGTCAATGACTTGGTGAGCAGGAGGATAGCAGGTTTGAGCGAGCAGATTTTTGCAACGAAGAGAAAATTGAAGCAGGCTGCTCCGCTCTCGGTGGAGCAAGTGAAATTTTTGCATTGTGCCCTGAAGGATGAGCATCAGCATGATATGGATCGCGCCAGTGCAGCCTATTTGCTTATTGCAATCTACGGCAGGTGTAGACATAGTGATCTGTGCTTTATTCAGGACGCTATTCCGGATTTTGGACCTGAAGGCGGTTTCCTGGAATTGCGGGCTACTGCTCACAAGACGGGTCGAACAGCGCAGCGGAAGGCTCAGCTTCTTCCGATTCTCATTCCTGCTGTGGGGGTCACGGGCGAAATGTGGCTAGATGCTGCTACTAGCGCTTTTCAAAGAGTTGGTTTGCTTTTGGATGGAGAAGTGAACGGACCAATCTTCAGGCCGCCAACCTCGGACTCTGTGGATGCCTTGTGCAGGCGTGGCCTTAAGTCTGGCGAAGCCACGAACCTACTTAGGGAGTTCCTGGCACTCAACGCAGATGGTCGGGATCTCAATGCAATCTCATCACATTCGTGCAAAGCAACCGTCCTCAGTTGGAGTTCAAAGTTTGGGTTGGACGAGTACACCAGGTCTGTTCTAGGAAGACATGTTTCTGCTACAGTTTCGAGCTCGGCCTTGTACGCAAGGGATTTGTGCATCGAGCCGGTGAGGAAGTTGCAGGAGCTGATTAAGCAGATTGCTACAGGGGTTTTTCGTCCGGATGCGCCCAGAAGTGAATTTTTCGGTGCACCTATGAGTGTGGTACCAACACTGGTTGATGAACCGTGTGTAACCAAGGATGAGCATGCTGATGAGCTTGAGAATGAATTCATTGTGATTTCTTCGGATGAGGATTCGACATCGGACTCATCCAGTTCGACATGCTCGGATTGCAGCTCCAGCAATCCCGGATCAGAGGCGGGCCAGCCACTTGCGAAGATGCCTCGCCTGATTCCTTGTGATCCCAAAGTGGGCAAATGGTTCACACACAAGAAATCAAAGATTTCGCATTTCTGCCGCAACTTCGAGAGCCTGGTTTCACCTGTTCGCCGTTTTGTTTGTGGCAAACGCTTGAATGATAATTACGAACCTGTCCTGCCGGGTAAAGAACCTTTTGCGGACTGCATGATGTGTAGAAGGAGTGCCTTCTAGCTGGAATGCCAGCTCAAGTGTCGATGGACACGGGCTATGTGGCCCATATGGAGATTGTGGAATGCCACAATCGTTGAATGTTTTGTTGCAGACGACCGTTTGCAGAAAAGAGGAAATGCTGCGATGGCAGCTATATGTTTCCTTCTGCGATGGCAGCATGTGTGTCAAGTGTGCTGCGATGGCAGTATGCTTGATGTGGTTTCCTGTGGAATCTGTTGGATTCCCCTCGCAGATGTGCGGCTCAAGTGTGAACAGAATATTTTCGGTTGAGCTTGATTGTTTTGCAGGTTTTTAACTTGTGTGATGGCTTTGAAATTACATGTTGGTGTTGGGTACTAAATTTGAGTTGTTCCAACCTTTGCCGTAGTTTGAGATGGCTCTGCTTATTGAATCGGAGGCTCATTTCTCACAGAGAGCCCAAGAGATCAACTTGGGTGCTGGTGTGCCTAGGGCGCTGAAGCAGAATGGTATTGCTACGCTGGGAAGTCTGGCCTATGCATTTGGCCAGCCAGGCCAGGTTCTGGATGAGGGCGCTTTCGGTGAGTGGGCGAAAGGGATTGCAGATTCCCTGGGGGATTTGTCGGCATTGAAGAGAGCGCTTTTTGAGTCGCAGACGATGGTGCTAGCAGCTCTTAGAGATCAGGTTTCAAACCCTGATAGCCAGGGTGCAAGGCGTCTTCCTGATGCAGAGAGAGAGAAGAGGATGGACAATCTGAAAACTTCTCTCGTGGGGGTCATAGTGGAAGGACCGCTTGAGCCAAGCCACGCCTTGTTGGAGCTATGCGCAAACCAATACCAAGCCAACCAGCTGCAGTACATCAAGCCAGAGAAGTGCGCCTCGCGTATGCACGAAATCACGACTGGAAAGCCAAGCACCAAGGAGTTGCAACTCGAGGCCAACAAGCTGGTGGTGAGAGAGCATGTTGAGGTTTCTGAAATGACGATTCACAACTCGCTGCTCTTGCAGGAGGCTTTCAAGCGTCGTGGGTTGGCTTATGTTTTCAGCAATTCCGTGTCGCATGCAGCTTATGAGCGCTATCTGCAGACGTTGTTTATGCACACGAGTCGTGAGCCTCCCCCGGGTTGTCAACGTTGTTCACTTTCTCAGCTGGTGCAGGCGGATCGCATGGTTTTTATCCGGTTGATCGAGGAGAACGTGAAGCCGCGTAGGAAGCCCGATGGTACGTATCCAATGGACCTTGCACTGACAGCAGCATTGCAGTCCTACCATGTGAGCTTCACGCTGATGCCGTTGCCCGCCAAGGCTCCGGGGAAGCCGTCCGCTGACCAGAGGGCGACGCCAAATCCGCCACCTGCAAAGAAGCCGAGAAACGAGGAGCCCGGCAAAGGGAAGGGGAAATCCAAAGGAAAGGATGCAAAGGGGAAGTCCCGCAAGGTGGCTACCCCCTATGCTATCCTCAATGCTGGGGGAGTGGCTACCACACCAGATGGATCGCCGCTCTGCTTTGACTACGTCTTGGGACATTGCAACCGAAGTGTTACCGATGGGCAGTGCGTGAAAGGTAAGCACCTTTGTTGCGTGTGCTTCGAGCCGCATTCCCTCAAGGAGCACCGGAAGTCGGCCTAGCACCGGATGATGTTTCATCGGATGTGATAAGCAGTGCGGCCGGTCTCCACAGGAGTGGTTTGCCGCATGCGCGTGAGGCACGCCATTCTGAACGACCTTTGCCGTTGGAAGATACTGACGAGCAATCTTTTCCCGACCCAATTGAGATAAACTTGAGTGACACTGAGACCATTGTCTCAGACAAGCATGAAGTTGTGGGCGACTCCTGCAGGAGCCCAGCGCCCACAGCTCTAAGTGCTCCTTTTGTGCTTGAGATTTTCGCTGGCACAGCCAGAGTGACCTCTTGTTTGCGACGTTTAGGTTTGAACAGCAGCTTGGGCGTTGATCATGCAAGGAAGATGCCGAATGCCCCAATTTTGATTTCCGACTTGACCTCCCAGGACGGTCAGGAGCTATGTTTGCTTTGGGCATCCAGCGACCAGCTGTTGGGCATTCATGCAGCCCCTCTTGCGGGACATGCAGCGCCGCGAGACAAATTGTGCTTCGTGACTCATCAGGCTCCCGCATTCCGCAGCCGGTACCCTTACGATCCCAGGATTACCCAGATGGGCTTCCGCATTTGCACGGAAAGGACAAGGTCAGGGTTGATGCAGCCAACTGCCTTTATGCTTTTCTTGTGAAACTTTTGACCCTGTGCCATGCTAGAGGTCTGGTCTTCTGTGTGGAGAACCCTCGAAGTTCCTGGTTTTGGCAAACCAGTTTTTGGAGGTCCCTCGTTTGCCCCACAACTTTCACAGTTCATCAGGCTTGTGCATACGGTGGCCAACGGCCAAAGTGGACCGCCTTGGCCCACAATTGCAAACATTTCAAGAAGTTTCGCGCTTGTGCCCGGGTGTCAGTGACACTCATACCCACTTGCCGTGGGGTTTTGTGCGCAGTGACGCTGGCAAGACATTTGCGACCGCAGAAGAGACTGCGTATCCTCCCCAGCTTGCTTGGGAAATTGCAAAAGCATTTGCATGCGAAGCAGTGGACCGAGGTTGGCAGCCACCACCGCGCACTTTTGAGATGATGTCGCAGTCCAGCGATTTGCACGCTTTGCGTGCAATCACGGGCCAGCAGCCTCGCGCATCAAAGATTCCACCTTTGGTGCCCGAGCATAGGCAGGTCATTGTGCTACGTGGTCCGTTAAATGTTTCGCTGCCTGTTTTGCCAATGAGCCGCATCAAGGTTTCCTGGACAGCTCCAGCTGGTCTGGAGCCCGCAGGAGCGGTGGTGCCTGCCGAGTCCCAGCTGCTTCGTGTGTCTCCTTTTCGGCCAAGAGGGGGTGTGAGGGACGAGCTTGCTCCTGTCGCTGGGTTGCTGGACAAACATTCTGTTGAGATTGCTTGGGGCGTGCCTTTTTCTCCTACCCAGTTTGTTGCAGAAGCTTTGAGGGTGGGTCATCCTCAAAACCTTGACCTGGTGCTGCCTGGAGCTTTGGCGTGTGTTGTTAAGAAGCTTGCTGCCGAGGATCTCGCTTCAATAGCAAAAATGCGTGTGGAGTGCATCAGGCATTGGACTGCCAGAGCAAGAGAATTGGCACCTGCTGAGAAGTCCTTGAAGCGTAACATGCCTGATAATTTGAGATGCCTACTTGCCCCAAAACGTATTCTCCTGTGGGAAGAAATGCTTAAGGCTTGTGGTTACACTGACTTGGGAGTTGTTGCCGAACTTAAGGAGGGGACCGTTTTAACGGGAGTTGTTCCCCCCACGGGTGTTTTTCCTGCTGCCTTCAGGCCGGCCATAGTCAGAGAGGAAACCCTAAAGCAATTTGCGAGGACTGCCAGAAAGTCCATCTTGTATGCGACAAGGTCCTCCGGTGACCAATCCCTTGATGAGAAAGTGTACGCTATGACATTGGACGAGGTTCAGTCGGGGTGGCTGGAAGGCCCTATCGACGTCCGGTCGCTGCCGGATGATGCTGTCATTAGCAGGCGTTTTGGGCTTCAACAGCCAAACAAAGTTCGTCTCATAGATGACCTTAGCATCTCTCAGTTGAACTCGACCGTGCAGGCTTCCGAGTCGCCAAGGCCTCAATCGACTGACGTTATTGGGGCTTTGGTGGTTCAGCTAATGCGGCAGTTGCCAGGGAGAAGTTTGTTGGGCCGGACCTATGATTTGAAATCCGCCTATAGGCAGCTAGGTATTCACCCTGCCTCCCGCTGGGCCAGCTACATTGCATGTTACTGTCCCAAGGAAAAGACCGCCCAGGTTTTCAGGTTGAAGGCCGTTCCGTTTGGAGCGACAAGGGCCGTTTTCTCTTTTCTCAGGACTGTGCAGAGTATCTGGCATCTTGCTACCTCAATGCTGCATATCCCGTTGAGCGTGTTTTATGACGACTTTGTTGTTTTCTCGGAGGTGGGTTTGGTCACTTCGACAAACCAGGCCTTTACGGGCCTCCTGGATCTGCTCGGTTGGCGATATGCAATGGACGGATCCAAGTGCTGTGAATTTTCCCCTTGTTTTGATGCGTTGGGCATCACGATTGACCTGAGTGACTCTCGCATAGGCTTAGCTCGTTTTGCCAACACAAAGAAAAGGTGTGCAGAACTTTCTGAATGTCTAAAAGGAATTCTTGCAAAGGGTCGATTGCCTAAGAAGGAAGCTTTGCGTCTGAGGGGTCGGATGCATTTTGCTGACTCTCAGGTTTTCGGCAGGACTAGCAAATTGTGCCTGAGGGCTATCTCAGATCATGCACATTTCCAGACCTCAGAGGAGCTTACCGTGACGTGTGCGGACGCCATACAGCGCTTTGTATCATTTCTTGCTTTGGGAAAGCCGAGGTTTCTGTGTGCCCATCGGGAAACGCCTGGTTGGTGTTTACCGACGCTTCGTACGAACCGACAGATCGTGTGTGGCCTGCTGGACTTGGTGCAATTGTGCATGATCCCATGGGACGTGCGCTCGAGTACTACTCTTTGTCCTTGACACATGGTCAATTAGAAGATTTAGGATCAAATGAGAAAAAGACCTTGATTTTTGAGCTTGAGCTGATGGCCGCATGCGTTGCTTTCTCTACTTGGGAAAACATGTTTCAGGGCGCACCGGTCCTATTGTTTATCGATAATAATTCTTGCAGGGACGTTGTCATTTCAGGAGCAGCCCGCTCCAGGATGGGCCAGTGTCTTGTGAGAGATTTGTTCGAGACAGAGGATCGTGCCTCACTTCACTTGTGGGTCGCACGTGTGCCGTCTCCGTCCAACCCAGCGGACATGCCCTCGAGACGCGATGTCTCTTCTCTCGAAAACAAAGGCGCAGTCCGCCGCGATGTATCTGCAAAGGTAGCGGAACTTGTCCAGGAATGTGCCAAAGTGAGAGTCGGATAAAAGGGGGAGAAGGCCTAGAATAAATTGCCAAAGTTTGCATCAGCAATACCGTGTGCAGCTTCGCTTGATTTGGTATCTTTGCCCTTGTGTGCACCTGTGCGGCTGCATAAATTCTAGAAGCATCAGAACCCCCATGCCACCGACGAGAAAAGCTGTGCGCCAGGCATTCGGACTTTTCGGGAACCTGTGTGTTTGCAGGGGCTTTCTGTTTTGCCTTGCTTTCCTTGGGTCTTGTTCTGGGTGTGCCTGACCCTTTTTCTAAATGATGTTTGGAAATTTTTGGGCGGTTCTTTGGCTCAAAACTAAGTATGCGGTCACCCGTGATAGCACATTAGCTCAGAGATAAAGAATGAAAAATTGAGATGCTCAATTTTTCAGGCCAAGCATTTTCCTTGAGCATTCCCTTTTGCAATTGCAAACATGTGTTGCCTTGAGACTTGCCTTTGTCTGGATCGTGTTGACAATCCTCAGATGATGCAGCATGGGCTGAGGTGGGAGGGTTGTCCCCATCTTTTGGAGTTGGCGCCTTGTCCCGCCCGCCCATCCCTGGCGCCAAGTCAGGATGTGCAAAAACTTGCAGAAAACCCAGGCCTAAAAATAAATTGCCAAAGTTTGCATCAGCAATACCGTGTGCGGGGAGAAGGCCTAGAATAAATTGCCAAAGTTTGCATCAGCAATACCGTGTGCAGCTTCGCTTGATTTGGTATCTTTGCCCTTGTGTGCACCTGTGCGGCTGCATAAATTCTAGAAGCATCAGAACCCCCATGCCACCGACGAGAAAAGCTGTGCGCCAGGCATTCGGACTTTTCGGGAACCTGTGTGTTTGCAGGGGCTTTCTGTTTTGCCTTGCTTTCCTTGGGTCTTGTTCTGGGTGTGCCTGACCCTTTTTCTAAATGATGTTTGGAAATTTTTGGGCGGTTCTTTGGCTCAAAACTAAGTGTTTTAATTTTGGTTGAATCTTCGGCCGCGTGCCATTTCTGCTTCAAGCCTTTTGGTAAGGGACATGCCTGGAGGGTTTGACCCCTCTTTCGTTCTTTTTTGAACCCACCCTCCCACCCTTTCACGGCCCAGGTGGCATGCAGCCTCCACAAGGCCTGATAGAGGGACGCATGCAGCCGCATGAATGGAAGCTGGTCAGCTCCCTCGAAGCCTCGGAACTACCTCGTGGGGGCCTTTGAGCTCGGAGCTTTCAACTCCCCAACACTCCTCGTAAGTCTATTCAAGCGGTGCAGCGTTGCAATTGTTGTGGTTGATGTGACGAACTGTGAGTTTGACCGGGTTGATTTGAGCAACTTGTTTCATAACTCGGCCGTTTTGGCAGAATACTTTTGAGCTGTTCCCCTTGCACCTCCCCTCCGACCATGGCTTGATTGATGTGACGAAAGTTCGTTTGAGCAACTTGGTTAGGCCTCTGCCATTTTGGCGCAAAGACACTGGAGTTTTGCTCCTGCCCTCCCAACTACAGCTTGGCTACCGCCCGGCTTGATTCTCGACGCGGGGAAACCGTGCCCTCAAGAACTCCCACCCACCTCTAAGGGGTGAAAAGGACTGCTTGTGCTGCTGGACAGGGCTCGCCACTGCAAATGTTCGACATGTTTCAACACGTAAACGCGAAGGGAGTCATTTTCGCCGCGGTCCGGTGAGGTATTCTGTGTTTGCGGGTCAACAAGAAGGCAACATTAACCCAGGAAC